GTGTGTAGTTGTGTGTGTGTGTATGTATATACATATAGTCCACACACTCACCTTCGATCTCGACTTTGAACTCCTTTGTAATAGGCTTGCCGGCCACCATGTTTAAGATGCTGGTGAGACCGTAGGCAATCATCCCTTCGTCAAGTGAATCTCCCATGTAGTGGATCCATTGGCCCGATACGAACCGTCCGTTAATAGCTGTGTTCTGTAGATGTGATAGGAGTGTAGTGTCGTTGACCTCGTAATATTTTCAACTATTTATCGGGGATGGTGGGTAATTTTTTGGTCCGTTGGCGGCAGTATGTTGTTGTTAATATTGGCAGAATACAATAACTTTATTGCTAAAGTAGTTCTATTGGGATGTGGTAAATAACAATGTAACGTCTGTCAAAGACCGTTTTCCTTCGATATGCTTGGGAAGGTATAGAGTTTCTTGTGTTCAGAACAATCTAGTCGGATATAGGGAATAATAAATAATGCCGATTTAGCCTAACCCCTGGGGCAATATTAATGGTAGTGGAATTATGAAACGGGTTGTAAGAGGGTATAGACGTGTATATCGGGTGTATATAACGAACACACTGAATGCCTCTGAAATCTATAAGCCATCGTAAGGTAGCAGTGCGCATGAGAAGACACAGCTACACCGGCTCAAAATATATTAAAGCGGAGGCATAGTATACCTTTCTGTGCATAAATAAACATTTAGATGATTCTACATCTAAAGATGTGTGCATCTCTGCGCAAACTACCTTGCGTATATTTGATCGACAACATTTGCATAGACTAGTCCCCAATGAATAGCTTTCTTAATACGATCCTGTACGCGAATCCTCGAACGGACTGCGTATGAATATGCAGCTGTATGACATAGCCAACTCCATTTGAAGTATATAGGCACTTGTGTTGTATGATATAGCCAACTCCGTGTGAAGTGTATAGGTACTTGTGTTGTATGACATAGCCAACTCCATGTGAAGTGTATAGGTACTTGTATTGTATGACATAGCCAATTCCATGTGAAGTGTATAGGTACTTGTGTTGAATGACATAGCCAACTCCCATGTGAAGTGTATAGGTTCTTGTGTTGTATGACATAGCCAACTCCATGTGAAGTGTATAGGTACTTGTGTTGTATGACATAACCAACTCCATGTGAAGTGTATAGGTACTTGTGTTGTATGACATAGCCAACTCTATGTGAAGTGTATAGGTACTTGTGTTGTATGACATAGCCAACTCCAGTGAAGTGTATAGGTACTTGTAGAACTGAGTTCTGTGGTAATATAGGCATTTAGTAGCTAGCACATGTTCATATGTTTCCCGTTCAACCAGTGAAGGACTCATACGCCTTCATGAATGTCAGCAATGCACAGGTATGTACTATTCATCACATACGGCTTATACCTGGTTGTGTATGCTGGTACAGATACACTCATGCGATATGAATAAGCAATACCTGAGACATGGATCGCTGATCAAATGGCTTGAAGAGATAGCTCTCCTTGGGCTCCATGTCCGGACATGTCTGTTTGTTTACGTACTTCTCAAACCGTTGCTGTGCATTTGCGATGTTGACAAGAATGGAAATCAGTATGCATATACACAAGACTTGCACTTACTTAATAATTTTTATGATGTGTTCGTGTTCAGTGCAAGAATATGTGTCGCAGAGTGTTCAACGACACACGGGTACGGGACAAGGTAAAGGCGGGTTAAAACCAATAGGTCAACAACCGCAGCACATCCAGCATGCTTACATGTACGTTGAAATACAACTCGTATGCGAATACATACCTGCCAACACCTGACCAGTCTGTGCTTGCTCGAACAAGTCCTGCATACACGTAGTTCTGTGTGATAAAGTGTATAGTTACACCTTGATGCATATGAGTGCACACACACACATCCACACATAGTATCAATCTGCGGTCCTCCACTTGAACTGTATGCCGAGTCTTCCGGGCCTGCACTTGTTCAGCTAGACCGTGCTTGTTTGCCCTTTACCCATGAACAAAGCCCTAGGTATATCGAAGTAACATACCTATACACACAATAACGCACACAACACCAGTACCTCTGCATACCGAGTCGTGGCGAGCCTGTACTTGTTCGACCAAGCCCTGCTTGCACGCCATTTGTTCGTAGACACTCTGCGGTGAGTCACAGTCGACCACCACCCACTCGCCCGATTTGCCGCTCTCGCGCTTCTTACGCTCGCACTGCTTAATCCCACACACTCCGTTGGAATCACACTCATTCTCTTGTGCGTCTGGGGGTGCAATCGTAATGCTGCCCGGCACTTCAATGGACTGGTTGAGCTTGTGCTTGGTTTGCGGTCGCAAGGGTACTTGTAGCATCGCCGCTGTAGGTGGTAGGTCAACGTGCGGTATGTAATATCTACTGTCAACAGTTTTGTTTATGTATTATATACATATAGCCGTGGGCACTAAGGCACACTACCAAACGCTCTATATATATATATATATATACTATTAATATATGTTATTTTA